CTCCTCTTTTTTAGAAGCAGCGATCGGAGATGGATGTCTCTCTTTGCCCAGCCAAGTGTAGTTTCTGGCGGATTTTCTTGCTGGGAAGCGTCTGGCTGGACTATGTGGGTTCGGTGTTGGCTTGCCCTGCAAATTGTGTCTGCAGCAAGACTGAGATCAATTGCCGGCGGCCGGACGATGGGAACCTCTTCCCCCTCCTGGAAGGGCAGGATTCAGGGAACAGCAATGGGAACGCCAGCATCAACATCACAGACATCTCAAGGAATATCACTTCCATGTAAGTCAGGCCGCCACTGCCCAGCCCGCCTCCCCCCAAGCCCCGCGTTTCCCTCTCGCCCGCGGCAGAGGAACCGGCCCTGCGCGCCCCTGCTAGCTGCTGTTCGCCGCCCGCCGGGCGCGCGTCAGGCTCTCTCTCAGAGTCGGGAGATGCTATACGGCTGAGCGTTCCAGGTGACTCCGGCCCTGGCCAGGCGCGATCGCATGATGCTTGTGGGTACCTCTCCCTGGAGAGAGCCCTCTCTGGCAAGAGGGTACATGGGGCCCAGCTCCTGCCCCCGCCCCCACCTTCTTGCTGGCTCGTTTCGAGGGTGCGATTCGGGTTCTTTGCCCCCCACTAAATAGCAACAGTTTGGCCACGCTCAAGTGGAATAAAGTAGAGGAGGCTCGGTTCCCTGACAGGCGGCGGCAGATAGCAGAGGCCGAGGCAGTGCTTAGCTGGGAGGGAAGGTGACAGATAGGGACTGCTGGAGAGCCAGTCGAGATATATATATATTTTTTAACTATTTCCTTCTGGACATAGCAAAACATACTGATAAGCAAACAAGTTGGGAACTGACTGCTCGCGGGGAGACTTCGGACGTGTCCAGGCCGTCATGGACGCCTATCTCTTTGCCTTTTCTTTCCCCGCCGCCCTCTCCAACCCCATTTTGGGCATTTACGATACACCCCCCGCCCCTTTCCCACCCTCATCTGCATCTGGGTGCCTACAGACCATTTTCTGGCTTGCTTTTCGGTAACTGCTGGGCTAATTCCTTGTCAGGCTGCTGAAGGGAGAAGAGAGGGCGTGTGTTTGGGGAAGGGGATTTCTTCCACAGTCCTGCGGATCCGTTTATTTGGAAAATTGAACTCTGACTGGCGTTTGTCTGGTTCTGCCCCATTTGAGTGAGACCTACGGTGGTGGTGGCCTGCTTTCTTCTTCTTGTTTTGTTTCTTTTGTGGGGCTGGGGGCCAGAAGCTTAGACGTGTGTGTGTGTGTGTGTGTGTGTGTGTGTGTGTGTGTGTGTGTGTCTATGGTAAGCTCAGGGACCAGGAACCTGCCCATCTTTTCTTTCATTTCTCAGGCAGGTGACTACCACCCCTCCCACTTTGCTGTCCTGGAACAGGGTGTGGATGGCCCTGGGATGTTCAGAGGACTGCTCATGCCTGTTTCCCTCAGGGCCCCCATCCTTTGGGGATCTCTGGAGGGAGTGAATAGGATGCTGGCCAGGCTCTTTGCCTTGTGGACAGACTAGAACAAGAAGGGGCCCAGTGTGCTTATGGGTACTGCTCTCTCAGCAGCCAGCCTCTCTTAGCTCCAGCCAGTGCCATGGGGCCAGAAAGCCTGAAAATTGCAGTCCTGCTCTCCAAAGTCCCACCAGCCCTTTTGGCAGTAATGGAATCGGCTTGTGCTCTTGAGGTGACAGTTTGAGGGAAATGGATAGCCCAGGAGATGTCCCTGGTTTCTAGCCCTGGTGACAAGCCTGACCTGTATCTCAGCTCTGCTGTTCACCCCTGACCACCTCTAGCCTGGCAGGGGATGACCAGCCAGCCAGCCAAGGAGGAAAGGGAAGGGTAAGGGAAACAGATGAACTCCATGTACCTCTCTTCCTCCTTGCAGGCCACAGTGTCTGTCTAGCATCTGAAGATGCAGGGAACAATCTCTAGAGGCAGGTTGTTAGGGAAGCTCCAACTTGGAAGTGCATCATTCAGGGGCCTGTTGTGGAGGGATGGGTGGAGGGAGTTTTGTGGCTTGGTGCTCTGGAGCTGGACATAGAGATTTCCAGGTGATTGGATAGCCCAGGGGTTGGAGAGAAGGTGCCCAGTGAATCTGGGAGCCAGGGGGTCTTTTCTGGCTTGTTCTCTTCTCTAGGGAGATGTGTGTATCACTTGGCACCCACAGGAAGCAGGGTTGGTCACAATCACCTAGGCTCTTTATAGCCACACAGAGGTGTCATGCCTCTGAAAATAAGACTCTGGGAAGCAGTTTCATAGGGAAGAGTAGGGTTGGTCTTTCCTGGAGACATTGGTATGTGTGGGAGGCACAGAAAAACCTCTTGCTCTCTTTGGTATTAGAGGACCTCAGGAAAGTGCCAAGGGGAACATGAGAAGGCAATGGATTGGGAGCCCTCTGTGTGTGTCCATTTGTTTTAGTGCTTGGATTCTGGCAGGCCATCAGAATGCTCTCTCCTATGTCTACTTGACACCAAAGAGTAAGGAAACTGCGCCTTCAGGAGCATTGGGAATGGCAGGTGGGAAGGTCAGAGGTCAGGGGTTGGATGACCCCTCCCCACCCTATCTTTTCCCCAGTGTCCTGTTATATCTGTGTCTGGTATTGACAGAACTCAGAGAAGGGCCCAGACTCTTAATCCAGAGGCACAGAGTTTTGAGGGAGGGAGAGGAGTCATGCTCACCCAGGGAAGAACATGTTAGGAAACGGAGGAACAAGTGACAAAGTAAGCTAGGATCTGACCCCAGTATTGAACACTGGTCTTCCTAACACATAACTCAGAACCCCCAGCTCAAAGCTTACAGAAAGAAGGGGCTTGAGAGGAGAGAGGAATGCAGTGCAGGGTAGGGGAGGGTCCAGCTTTAGTGTAGCCTGGAAAGGTGTCCTTCAGATTTACCCAGAGATAGAGGGTCAGGGATCCTCCATTGCCTGTTAACCTCAGTCTCTGGGTACTGGCATGCAGGTGGGCAGATGCTGAGCATGGAGAGGCTGGGACCTCCACATTTTATACTCCTTTTCCTTAGGCTGTTCTAAGATCCTTTCCTCAGGTACTGAACTCATTGTGCTGTTTCCAGAGGGACAGGGTTTGTTTCGCTGTAGCCTTGCTTCTTGGGGGTAGTATATAGAGTGGTGACTATATACATCTAGAGCCTGGTTAAATGTTACCTTGGGTGGGGAAAGCCCAGGCCCCCATCCCCTTGGCCACTCTGTTATTATTGGGAGAAAATCAGTTGTAAGGTATCAGGGCAGAAGTGTGGGTCTCTCCTCTGCCTCTGCCATATCCCAACTGCTCCTAAGCGTGCCCCCCTTCTGGCCTCTTTCTGTCCAGAAGGCCAGTCTTTTTGTTATTGGAGCTCTTAATGCACTACAACATCATCTAGAAGGGTCCATGGACAGCCACACCCAACCAGGCTCTGACGTCACAAAGGCAGGAGGGTGGTGGCCAGGATGGTGGACTGTCTGGGCCGCCTCCTTAGGCCAGGCCTACAGGGTTAGATTGGCTTGGGATGATGTGTTCTTTGGTTGTTAGGAAGAAGATGGAGGTGGAGAGAATGACATCGATAGGCTATTTGTTCTGGGGATTGGCTGCCTAGGTTTTCAAAGTCCATGTACTCTTGGCTGGGCTCTAGACGCCAGCTGGATATCACCCTGAGCCTCCACAGGGTCCCAGGTGTTTGGCAGATGTCTGGTTCCTGTATTTCCCTTTCCCCTGGAGGCTCTCTGCTGGCTGGAGTATCATTGGGGGCTCTGACTACTCTTCTGGCTCTTTTATTCTTTTTCTAAGGATCTAGAGAGGTGACCCAGCCTTGATAAGAACTGGAATCCCAGCTAAAGTATAAACTAGGCCTTAAAGACATCAGGTCCTCAGTGGTTGGGCAAAGTACTCAGAGTCCCATGGTTAGGAGCTAGGTCTGAGAGAGGGAGATAGAGGAAAGAGAGGCCTTGGAGGTGAGATTTGGAACACTGGGAAAGAGATATTTCCCAGATGAAAGCTGGGACTCTAGACTCTTTTGATCTCAGGATTCTACACTGAGACCAGGTTGTTGGTGAGTGTCAGGCCCTCCCAGGATCTAGAGTCCTCAGCATGCCTAGTAGGCCAAGTTTCCATCATACTCCCTGGGGCTAAGGGCATCAGTGCTCAGGCTCCCTGGGACTTGTGACCATATTAGTTTTGGGCAAAATCAGCCCAGCCTGGTTGTGGTTTTCAGAGTGCATATATGCTTTGTCCAGGGGTCTGAGCTGAAGTCTTAGAGGTTCCTCAGGGTCCTACAGAGCTCCCACTGCCTTCTGTCCTGGCTGAGGTGGAAAGTGCTACTGTAAGAGAGAGAGAGATGAGCTCAGGTACTCTGCCTTGCAACCCTGATCCTTGCCCTGTCAGTCTTTGCCACCTGGTCCCTCCTGTCTAGGGAAGGATGAGGGCCTAGCTCCAGTTGAGTCTTGGGTAGGTGGGGTGTGAGTAGCCTGTGGCCCTCCTTGTGGATGGACCTTGCCAGTACCATGACATCTCCACTACGGCCTGGAGCTTCCATCTCAGGTGTTGCATTGAGTGGTTCCTGCAGGGATCATGGACACCATGCTCAGCCTCCCCATGGGGCCTCCAGGGGAACTGTGGCAGGTTAGGGATTGGAAAAGGAACTAGACACAGTAAGTTATAACTTAGTTCTGTCTCATTCCTCTTGAGTTATATTGGAGGGCTGCAGCCATTCTAAGCCTATAAATCTAACTATGAAAGCAGGCCATGGGGCAGAGTGTCCCTTCCAGCTTGGACACCTGCCATCTCAGTACCAGGAAACATCCCCCAGGAGGCTCAACCAGGCCTGTTTTAACTGTCCCTCCTTTGGAATGGTAGTGACCCTCGTGATACCTCCAGTAGTAGGCGATCCCTCACTGGTTGGGGGGGGGGCACTGTCATTTCTCCCTCTTCCCTTACCCACTTATAGAAAAGTCAAGTCATATAGAACTTGACAGAATTTGTGACACATGACACAATTTGTCATCAACTTCCCAGAACAAATGCCACAGTGAAGACTGTTTCAGGGTCTGCAGCTTTAGAGGCTGGGCATCAGGCTCCATGACCCCCATTCTGCCCCTTGGGCTCAAGACCTGGAAGAAATATCCTTGCAAAGGTGTCAGCCTATTGCTGGAGTGGGGCCTCTGCTGTGTGCGCAAAACATTAGAACATCTATCTCAAATCATTCTTGCCTATAACAGGGAATATTTAATATTTAATGTATGGATTGCAAAATATCTAAGCATATAATTTAATAAATATGAGTGTTTAGAGGTTGTGA